CTGCACATCGGAGAGCGTAGCACGGCTGTGATGCGAAAGACGGCAAACCATGTCGCCAGTGTCGCCGTAGTCATAGGAGTGGCATCTAGAAGAAAGAAAAAATGGAATTTAGAAACTATATATTTAGAAGTAGGACTTAGTAGGTATGTAGTTCAGAGTCAAGCGTCGCCAAAATCAAAAGCTTTTCGGTTCTAAAATGTCTCATGGCGCAATAACTTGCGCCGCACAGTGCATAATTTTGGCCATTTAGGAGAACAAAAATGACAGCGGCCATAATTAAGTCTACATAATTTTATTTTTGCTTTATGTATTTTTAATACATCTTTATTATAACGGTTTCAAAGGAATATGGCCATGCCAGCGAAGCCGCTGTATTTTAAATCGCTGCACTATGTCTATGTCGATCTAAAGCTAATTCAGCATATCGTTATTATCATGTACGGTATTCGCCAACGCGCAAAGTACCCTAAATATTCCGCAGAATCCTTCTCTCGAAAACGCTCGGAGAGGTCTTTCCCAATTCTTTCGGAGCCGGTTTTATTGCTCAACGATATTTTACACAGCCATATCAGTTGCGCAGGTATGCAAAATTCAGACATCACGGCTTATAGGCAACTCCTTTTAGTGCGGTCGAAAGTCCCTTTGAAGTCGACAATAGATGGTGAGTGTCGATCCCTTTCTCGCGTGTCTTGGTGCGTTTTGGCGGGCGGGGTCGCCTTTATTGTGGATTGGGTAGAGCACACTTAAATTCCAGTCGTCGGGCATGGTTCATCTGACCATATTCTGTATAAGAGCTGATGCATGCACCTTATCAGCTCCTTGCCGCCGTACTTGATTAGCTCAGCTGCCAGACTGTCAGCTTTAGCAACGTTTTTGTTTGTCAAGCGCGCTATTGCTAATTCGTATATCATCCGCTGGGGGCTAGGGTTCGTCTTCTCCACAGCTTTCAGTGCTTTTACCATTCAGTTGGCTGGAAAAGTGTTCCCTCAATATTTTAAGAACGTTCTGGACATCAGTCGCTAGTCGGCCACAGTCGCGTCTTTTTTCTCTGCGACTTCGTGACATTCCTCATTGTACCAGTTGTTATTTCGGGCTCCGTGAAATCCAACTACTTCTTCGGCGGCGGTACTCAATGAGCGGGAAATATGGCTTCACTGCTCGCGTATGTCGGTTTGTTGAAAAGTGCTCTCTAAGAGCAGGTGTGAGAGTCAAGTGGCGAATACATTCACTGTCTGTTGCGACTGCAACTTTTCTACGAGAGATAGTGGTCCGAGTCGATGTTTGGCTGGAAGCACTGGAAGCATGCCTTCAGTCTATCACAACATGATCGGTTTGGTCTCTCGTTTTCCGATCTGAAGACAGCCACGCAGCTTGGTGGATCTTTTTATACCTGAACCTAGTACCGCATACTACCATGTTTTGGGCCCCGCAAACTCGATCAGTCTCAGTACGTTGTCCGACGTTTCGTCGTTAAAGCTTAATTTTCCGACGGTGGTTCCAAAGATCTCTTTTTTGCCCACCCTGGCACTCAAGTCGCCAAGCACGACTTTGATATCATGGCGTGGACAGCTTTCGTGTGTGTGTGCACCAAGCGCTAATAAAAGAAATCCTCGAACGCCTCGTCCTTCGGATTGTGCCTACACGCAAGTCCACTGGGTTGACCGACCTCCGATCCCTCCTACCACAAATCCAACACCGAATATGCGGTCCTTTACTTGGCTGCTGTATTAGATATCGCAAGGCCCCTGAAATTTTTTGCCTTGCTCCGTCCAATGCATTTATTGGATAGCGGCGATGTTAGCTTTTGTTCTTACGAGGACATCAACCAGCCGGGCAGAGGCACATTCCCCATTAAGGGTCCGGACATTCCAGGTGCATGTCCTCGAATCGTCCTTTAAACGTTTCTTCTCTGGTCTCTTTTCTTCACTGGTAGTGGTTTTTACGTGAAGGACAATCAAGAAATTATATGACTATGACCGATCGTTATTTCTATCCACAAACTCTGTCTATGCGTCTTACGCACCGTGTCATAAGACCAAGACGCACCACTGATGTGTACATCCAGAGTAAAACTTCTAGTTTAAAAGCCGACGTTTCACAGTGTATTATTCCCATATTCTAGAAAATATCAATTAAATAATTTGACATCGCCAAATTTGAAAATAACGTCAAAAATGTGTTTAGAAATGCCTGATAAAGACGAAACAATAACGACTATAAAATTGAAATCAAAGTGTAGGGCGGGACGGGGTTTGAATTTCTATATTTGAAACTGAATCTCAATGTTTAATTTGTCGGTGTTATGTGATTTATGCAACAATTGCTAAAATACCAATTTGGTCTTATTTTTTTAGGTATGTTCTTTTTAATGAGTATACATTTTTGGGATTTTAGTAAACTAGGACTGAGTATTTCATGTTAAAGTAAAACGATGTTAACTTACATTTAGTTTTAGCAATTTATTAATTTCATTAGACCCGCAAATTGGTTTTTCGCGGTTATTCGATAAAGTTTGTATCTCAGTTAATTTGCCACTCCTCTATGGCTTTAAATAACACAATTTTAGCTGCTGGAAAGAGCAGGTTTTGATGAAATTTTCTTTTTTCAGGCCTACTAGGGATTTTATTTTCTTCGAGTAGTTCAGTTGCGTTTTATCTCGACCGAGACACATTTTTGTATTTTTGCTTTTGCATAGAGAAAGCTCGCTTCATTACCTTTCCAATGGTACTCCATTTTTCTAAATAGAGCAAGAACTATTGAACTTATAACGGAATTTTGTGGACCCAACTTGACTTTTTTATCGATATTTGCCACGCCCATAATTAAAAAAAAAATTATTTTTAAGTCCATTTCTGTCAGTTTATGATTCCTTGTTATAAGGAAATTCTAAATATATATCTTTGGGCATTTTAGCTTTCGTAGTTAGTTAAATATTTCAGCTTTTGCCTTTTTTAAAATTGCAGTTAAATAATAGGGTGGCATGGCAGCAACTGTAAATTACCAATTTTTTGTAAAAAGCTTCGCCTATCTCTTAACGTACCTTGTGCAAAATTTCATTAATCTATCTTCAATAGTTTTCGAATTACAGAATTAAAAGCAGCTAGATGGGTCAAATATTACACTGTGCGTTTCCGCGAAAGCAGCCTGTAAGAGTAAAATAAATTACCAACGAACTTTCGGAAAACATATTTTTCCCCATTTCTTTAATCCAAGCCAACTGAACATTAGTTACATATGTATGTACATAGTTTCAAACATCTCGCTAATATGCATTTCCTTATGCAAGAATTGTCAGAAAATTACGCAAAAATTCCAGGCTTATCTCGAAGCTGCTGTCTTCTACTGGCTTAGAGTTAGCCAGTACAGAGTGACAGAAACATTTGCTCTCATTGATTTAATCGGCTGCCAGCATTGTACTGTCAATAACTACCAACAAGTGGCAACAGTACCTTGCAATACATACTGGCTGCATGCATAAATACCAAACTACATATATAAATTCATACTCAAACAGAAAAATATTTGCAACCCAAAGAGCAGCTTATTTTGTGCACAGGCATTTAATCTAATCGCACATCACGAGTTCTCATCAAATTCAAATTTTCTATGGCAGCAAATCGCATAAAAGTCGCTGATGGGAGCACATTTGCACCCACTGCGCCGCAATATAACGGTATGCATAAGCTACTAGGTTTTTTATTTTTATTTGCGATTGCGACGGCATTAATTTGCACACAATTGCAATTCCATCGAAAATTCCCAGCAAGAGGCTTGTTGTTAGTTGATTAGCTGCGCGACTTCTTTTCCATTGGTCGACGTCAACATCCACTGATTAAGCAACACTTGTGGCAACATGTTGCGGAAACATGCAACAAGCAACAAACGGCTTTGCCATGCCAAATGTCATGCTGTTGCCGCCATCGCATCAAATGTTGACATGCTAATGTATTGGCTTTGGCTGCTATGCGCGGTTGCAACCTATGATTATGCTGGCCATTTGCAGAGTAGCTTCTTTGCGGCTCGACTATTCAAGATATGACCAGGTTTTGGCTATAATTTGTTGGCGCTGAACGGCCGCCTACTGAATGCCACAATTGACTTGACCGCATTCGGTTGGCCGTCAACGGCGGCACACTTGTTTAGTTTTTTGCCGTTTTCTTGTTGTAATATTTCTGTGCGTTCTATTAGTTGTTAGTTTTTATGTAAGTGGGTTTTTGTTTTCATTGTCCTGCCACAGCCACTGTCTGTCGCGCTTACCTGTACGGTGAATTCAAACATAAATCACGACACTCATCAATGCTGCCAACATCCTGATACACCGAATCCACCGTCTTCAGTATGCGGCCGGACAAGCGTTTGAACTCGCACAATTTATTTGGCTCATCGGCGCAGTTATTCTCCAGATAATCGACAGCATCGTGCGGCTGGAATGCGCCAGTGCCGGCCAGCGTAATGCGATCCATTTCGGAGAGCTCACAAGTGTTTGTACTGCGATAATAGTTGGCTGATCTGCAAGAAAGCAAAAAAAAAAAGAGAAAAAATTAAGTTGTGGATAAGCGAAAAGCATTGCAAAGAATATATATTTGTATGCATGTGCGTACTTGTATAAGAAAATAGCAAGAATTATGAAAAAAGCGTTAATAAACTAAAGCAAACAATCTTGACTTTGTATGCGGTAGATATGCACATTAGGCTGCATCACTCCCCATACAAAAAAAAATTCGGTACTGTTTTTCGGAATTATAAAGTCTACTATATTTTAAGACGTCCACCAGAAAAAAGTAAAAAAACAGCATCAAAAATCTCATTATTGCGATTCCGTTTGAAATATTTGTATGCAGGTTTTTTAAGCGTAATCGGTTTTGTCATCTGAGGGGAGACTTTTTTCAAAAAGTTCTTTAAGAAACTATTTTTATTCATACAAAACTCCATTTTTGGAGGTATTTTCATATTGGTCCAGCTGTCTTAAATCTTAATATTTTTCCGAAATATTTTTGTGGACGTCTTAAAATATAATAAATTTTGTAATCCAAGCGCAAAAACCACACCTTTTTTTGGTGATGCAGTCTAATGTACATACATACGTATATGTGTGCACTTTGTTCTATTTGTTGGTCAGCCACAAACACCACCAGCCTAGGTACTTTTTTGTGCTATGCAATTTATCGCACATTAATCTGCCATCACTGACATTGTTGCTGCAGCCCGTTTGTTGTACATTTTATGCGCGGTCCAATTTTGCTATTTATGGCATTAACACGACCGCGCTGAATTGACTATGCAACGAATGAGTGAGTGAGCGAGTAAATGAATGGTGTCTGCGCAAAGTTTATGGATGCTCTTTGTTGGCAGCTTTTATGGCGCAGCTTTGAGTTTTGTGTTAAAAAGCGATTTATTCTATGTTTGGGCGGACGTGTTGTTGATGCGGCAGGTGCAATATGAAAAACGCCCCAATAAATAAGCGCAATAAATAAATCTTGAGAATAAGTGGCGATTAATTCATGCAATGTATTACTTTTATATTAGCCTAGGTCCCCTTATTAGTATTCTTCTTGGTGTTCGTGCTCATCTCCGCATTATCTTCGCCTTCGGATTTGTACATAAGTTAACTAACACTTCTGAAACAGATGGCAACCCCCTAAATATAGGTAAGAAATAAACAAATCTCTTGTGTCTGATATTGTGATACCTACATAAATATTTCATGTGCCTGCTGAATTAAGCTAAACTTTATTTTTTAAATACGTTTCAACGCTCATTAATATAGTGCAAAAATAAAACCTATTTAAACCCATTCATTTGATACCCATATTTTGAATAATTACTTTGACTTATTAAATCATTTGAGTTTACCTCCTTAAACAAGTGGCAACCCTCTTTAATATTCTAAGCATTCAAACTATGGATATCTTACCACCTTCGTTTCACGTCATATTTTAATATTTCATTTAACTTATACATACTTTAATTAAATTCTAATTTTAAAACAGGTGACAACGCTATTCACAAAAATTTTTAAAACCAACACCTTGTTAAACCTTTTTCGACTGACATACATATTTTGATACATATTTAAATTGTGTATATTAGTCCCTTAATTCAAGTTGAATTGAATTTTTAAAGAATATGGCAAACCTCTTAAATGAAGCTCAGAAAAAAAACATTTTTAGGCCATGTCAATTTATACCCATACTTTAATAGTTAATTTGACTTATTAAATAATTTGAGTTTAACTTTTTACACAGTTGGAAACGCTCTTTAATACTCCTTTGCTTTACGTTTAATTAAATTCGACTTTTCAACCAGATGGCAATTTTGTACAAATAATTTTTTTAACCAAAACCTCGTTAAACGTTTTTCGTCTGACACTTGTATTGTGATACATATTTAAATTTTCTAATACTCTTAATTCAAATTGAATTTAATACTAAAATTAGGTAGCAACCCTCCTACATACAGTTTGGAAATAAAGTCTCTTCAAAGCCAATTTGATTTATATTCATATTAAAGTAATTTATTTATTTTGCTTATACTGAACCTAACTTTGTAACAAGCTGGCAACCCTCTGCAAACTATTTTCAAATTACAACCTCATTCGTCTGACATCCATATCATATATTGCCATACATTTCAATTTTCTGTTAAGTCGAACTTGCTTTTTGAGACAGGTAGCAACTCTACTACATATAATTAAAAAATAAATCCTATTCAAAACCACTTCGATCAATACTCATATTAAGTGTAATAATTCATTTAACTAACATATATATAATTTGAATTAAATTTTTTTATCAGGTGGCAACTCTATTTGAAAAAACAAGAAGTTATTACACGCCTCATTTTAGTATAAACTTTAAGTACGCAGGTATGAAAAAACTCGTAACTTCTACAGTTTTGGTGTTTCCATTCTCAAATTTTTACAGCTTACTCCATAAAGTTTGACAACTATTCAGGTTGAAAAAAATAAAAATCAAGCATGATGAAGTTGATAAAAAAATAAAAAAAAAAACGATTTTTTAATGTATTTTTTTTTTTATTCTACCTAACACTCTTATGGAAAGCCGAGGTTATTACGCACATTTTGATACCTTAACTGATTTTCTCCGACAAATAGTTTATTAAAGCAAACAAATAAAAAAAGAGTTCAAAATTTCGGGAATTTTTTTTCGAGATTTTCGAATATCATGACGAAATAAAAAAATAGGTGTCTACTTTTTTCGATAAAGAATGTAAAAATGTAAAAAAATTAATAAATATATATATTTAACCAAAAAAAAATATTGAGGTGTAAATATTGTATGGAATGACCCATATACATATGAATTTGCACAGAAGTGAAAGGCAAAGCACCACCAGTACACCCGGCTAGCTCTGCACCGGATGTGTGAGTGTGATCTAATCAACAAGGTGGCTGGCAAGAAAATGGGAAAGCAAACGAGCCACCAAATGCAAATATGTACGTATAAGATACAAACAAAAAACCCCCAAAAAAAAAAAATTGCCATTGGACCACACGCAATATTACCTTGCCAGCAGCCATATTGTAAAGTGCCACTTCAGTAGCCCACCACGGTAATGATACACATTTCAAGTTGCACGAAGGAGCAATGCAACTTTACAAGCTGACATTGCGGCTACTGTAACATTTGGCACATCTAACAATCCAACTCAGCCAGCGAACAAATGCCAAAATAAAGCAAAGCATTTACTGCAAATATTTTCCATTCCAGTCTTTTTTTGGTGTGTGTTGAAATGCAATTGATACGATTTCGCAAAAGTTCAACTTTAATTGACATAAATAAATGTTATTGTCAGTTTGTCTATTTAAGGAAAGCGATAGTAAGCACTTGCAGATGAGAAGGTGAACGTCCTTGCCGTCTCACCATTAGAAGCATACATATACATATACATATTGAGCAAGTCTCACAAACGTTTACTTTTTCTGCATTAATATTAGTGCATAGTTTTCTATGTGGTAATATGTTAAGGCTATTACGCGATTTCTTGGAAGCATCCAGCAGCGCTGATAAGCTCAGATGACCATGAGTGAGTAGGTTTGCATGCATTTGTTGAAATGTAAAGCCAAGCTTATGGGCTAACAGGTAGTGTGTTAGGAGAAAAAAAGTTTGGCTAAAAGATGTTTGATAGCATTAAAGTGTAGAATTATAGTGCATGTACTTTCATTATGGGTGAGCTGAAAATCATATTTTTTAGAAATATCAATTAAAAATAGCAAACATATGCTTCGTTATGCTCTAAAATGTTTGCTTTTACCGATACAAATTCTAAAAAAACTCGGATTCTCGGCCCACCCTAATATACGTACATTCAAACATATAAATTAGCTTATTAAAAAAAAGAGTTTCGAATAGATAGGTATACTAAGTATTATTGCATGAGGTGAAGAGTCGTCTCGGACTGAATTAGAAATAGGATATGACCGCAGTGGCCAAATTTTATCAAAAGAGCAAGTTGTTCATAAAATTTGAAGGTATCGATAGCTGGGAGCAGCTGTAGAGTTATTACATCCGCTGTTTGCCTGTGCCAAAAAAAAAAAAAACAAGTCTTATAGTCAGTTTCACGAAAGCAATTTAAGTGAAAAATTAGCTTTTTTTTTAATTTAAATAATTCTTCACTTAAATTGGTGGCGAAATCGGCAGTTAAAGTGTACCATACTCCAAAAGCGTGAGCTAGAGCCAAGGAAGGGATAAGTAAATAAAACCGAACTGGACATGTCAAACCTAAAATTTCTTAATTAGTGATATTTAAATCCTTTTTAAGATTAAAAATTATGTAGATGCTCATATCTGGATAATCTGCCAGGCGCTAGAACATAAGGAGGGCCATTTCGGATTTGAGGAACTTGCATTATGCATCTTACTCGGCATATCTATGCATCTAGGATACATCCTTTGGTCGCTTCTACAACAGCGACTTGGGCGGCCTTTGGTGAGTTCGCAAGGAATTTGTAAGGCTGTTTCCCTACTGTCTGTAAAATTGCGGCTAGGGCACCGAGGGTTTTGTCCAAAAACTGCGAAACGCGCCGAAAAAGTTGCGTAAATAAAACAAGAGGATTCCGAAAAGTACCCAATAACCCAAAATTTTCCCGAGAAATTTAATAAAACTTTTAAGGAAAACACGAAATTTCGTGAAATGTAAGCATAAAATCCAAATTTTCCCAAAAAAACTTGACAAGTAAAACACTCAGAACCCAGAGGCCCCGAAAAATGCGCGAAGAAAAAACGCTAATCATCCCGCAAGTTTTTTCTAAAAGTGGAGCACAAAAAAACCCCGAAAAGTACCAAAAAAATTAAAAAAAAATCCCGGAAAATAACGAAAAAAATCGAAATTAATCAACATGGATCCCGAAATACGACGAAAAAAATCTTAAATCGCCTGGAAAAATACGAACACATTTTGAAAATTCTCGAAAAAAACCGGAAAATCGCGAATGAAAAAGAGTTATTTTCTTATTTCTTTTTACCTTAAAAAATAAAATTGAAAAAAG